CCGGCCCACCTCTTTGAATGTGCTTTGTTGCAAACAAGTTCATGCGGACGGAAGGTCAAGCCACTGCAACAGGTTTGCGCTTCAGATCTGTTTTTTGGCTGGAGACCGGCAACTGCGTTCCAATATCTTTCAAAGTCTGGATGTTCCCTTGACAGTTGGCGCTGAATCATTGGCAACACAAAAAGTTGTCACCGCCTTCAGGACAGCGAGGTCACAGAGGACCAAGCTGTTTGAGGACGCGCAACGCAGCCATGGCTCCACACGACCAATCTGTAGATGCCTTGAAGTTGGATGCAGCACCAATTTTCAGTCAACGGCGTTGTGACAGATCATGTCATCCGCATTTGCAGCAGAAGCATTAAACATGAGGCCCTTATTTGGAGAAGGGCTACTTGACCCCTGTGGCAGCGTGTGAGCATGTGCAGACAGATCGCTAGTATTCGCTCTCTGCGAGGGGGACATAGTGAGTTCATGGCTTCTTCAGGGCTGAACCGAGATATCATTTGTCTTTCTCCGGTTGATAGACCTTCACACATCATTGCCAGATTTTTCAGCTTTCAAATCGACGCGGTCTACTTGGGCAGTATTGGGAAAGGGGCGGCCACTTTTTTGATCATGTCAGGACGGAGGATATCGAACCTTAGGTACTGTTGCTCACCAGGGATACTCGAAGGTTATAGTTTTCATTGCACAAACTGATCTGCTCGTCCAAAGATCGCTCTAAAACTGTAGCAACTGTGATCGGCCACGAGCTTTTGAGCGAGCTTACCTTTCCTGCGAGTGGGACCACCACGATTTGCCAGTCGGTCTTTCTAAGAGGCAAGAGCTGCTAGGTCTCTTGCGTGCAAAGTAGCATTTTTGCAGGCACTCAAGCCTGAGCACCTGGAAACCTGAGCACAGAGGGCAAATTGACATGCGTCGGAGGCACTAGATGGGCTCTACGGCAGGCAACCGACATCAGCAGTGGGTTGGATCGGTTTTTGGTCGGTTCGGTTTTTGGTCGGTTCGGCAACGTGTGGCCAATGTTGGCCATCAGTTTGACACACTCATCATGCCAGGGCACCTTAGTTTTGCCCCTTTTGCTTAGAACTCCCTGTAAAGGGCTACCGAGCACACCGACGTCCTATGTTTGCACCCGTCTCATTGCTGGCTACAAGTATTGCATCGCACGCGCTTCGCGAGGAGGGGGCCGAACCCCGTGCACAGTCAGACTGAGCTAGTGTGGATGGACGAAATCCTGCCCCTGGGGGGTTCCCTGATGATTCCCATGGTGAAATGCCAACAAACAACGGTTGTAAGCGTGGAGTCATTTCATTTTGCGAAAGGCGAAACGGATTTTGTCCAGAGTATGCGCGCCTTCATGCTTCGCTGGACGGCTAGGCTGCAGGACTTCGAGTAAGTCATTTGAATGAGAAGATCATATGGCTGTGGTCAAGTTGTCAAAACCGTTTTGGGATCCCATTTTGGGGTTTTCGGTACATCACCCATCTTAGGCTTCCTTTTTCGTGGTTGGATTGAAATGATTGGGATGACTGGGCCACGGGATTTCGACCCATGGCCATAGGATCAATAGGCCTCCATTTAAGGAGTTTGGATGCCGCTATAAACTCACGTCCTTACACTATAGATGATGTTCCATCAATTTGTACTGACAACTTGTAGCTTCTATCTGAGATGTTTCCGGCTGCTTGACGCCATGCGCGGAGGAATGAAAGAACATATCGTTGTCAACAAGGTCAACAGAAGATTGCTTCTCGTGTTTCCAGTTGCCAGGCTCTGAAGGATTGAGGTTGTCCAAAGTTTCACGCCTGGGTATGAGGAATACCCTCCCAAATGGTTGATGGACAGAGCTCCCCAAAACCTCACGCCCACCTCAATTTATCCTTGAGCATCTTCATTGAGTTCCAAAAGCCCCTAGATGTGCCCATGTCCCTAGAGCGCACAGCGCAGATCCTGTTGCTGGCTGAGAATACGTGAGCATAGGTGTCCTTTTTAGGTTAGTTTGGTGAAAAATAGATGGCACTGGTTTAGGCGGGGTTTCTTTCATTTACCAGGGCCAGCTATTTTCCAAAAGCCCACCTATGTACGCGAGATGGTCGACTGACTTGAGCAATCGTGCCCAATTTCAAGCCAGATCAGCTGGAAGCTGTGCGCCTCGTTCCCCTTCAAGGGCCGGCGACGGGGGTCGCCGGCCCTCGCTCGTGTAGATGCCCAAAGGTCCAAAGGACTTCGCGGAAAGGGCTGCTGTCATTGCCCATATCATTTCCGGCGGCTTACCGTCAATGAAGCTACTTGATGGAGCAAGGATTTGGAGGGGCTATGTCGATCCTAAGCTGGCAGTTCACATTCCTTGCTCCAGCAAATCAACGTGGAACCTCAAAGGGGGGTTTAAAGGTGCACTCCAAGAAGGACGCTGAGTTCCATGTTGAATTGCAGAGTAGTACCTTGCAAGTTTGTGGAGCAGATCTTGCAAGCTTTCCCTCGCAAAGGCGGGGGCATCCCTTTGCCGTGCTTTCCACTGCTGGCCGGAGCACCGGAGACGCTGGGAGGCGCCTGAATGCATGAGCCCCATAATTCAAGCAGAAAAAAAAACAAAAAAAAACCGCCTGGTTTGGTGGATGAGCCGACGCCTATATGGCTGTGAGTCAAAACATAGGGTACCAAAAAGGAATCCTGAGAAATGGAAGCATGGGCTAAAGCCTGCGGTCCAATTCCTGGTGCTTTTCATTTTTGACCCATACCCATCTGGGAACCCGTACCAATGCCTAAGCCGAAACGGCCCGAGTTTCGGCCTTTGGAGCTCCATGGGCCCCTGGACCCGGCAACAAGTTCAAGTTGACCGCCGCCTGGTCTTGTTGGATAGTCCGAACAGAATCACCCGTGCCACAATCAAAACCTAGATGAAGGTTAGGAAGGGGCAGTCCCAGCCGGAAATGGTTGCGGGAATCCGCCTTTCTAATTATTTAATTCTTTACATGGTTCTGGGTTCACCATTTTTGTACCAGGTTTTGATTGTGACTCACCCGGTGTTTTGTTGATTGATTTGGGAATTGAAGCCATGGCTCTAGTAGAGGGTCAATGGGAGAAACCTGACATGAGTTCCTTGTTGACTAACTGGTTGATAATTGTCCGCCAAGCCAGAACCAGAGCCAGACATGTGGTTTGTCAAGAATGTAAGGCAGTGAAAAAAGGTCGGCGTTCTTTTGAAACTCCCGGTGTATCTTTTTGGATGGTACCTTTTTTGGACCTATCGAAACCCAAGGGGAGCCATTATTTGAGTCCCCTTTTCTAAGACACACTGCTGTTCTCATTTACCGCTGTGGTGAAACAGCTGCTTTGGAAATGAGTTGGACAACAAATGAGCGTAACATGTTTCAAAATTCAGATTGTGTTTCAAGGTTTGTTCCAGGAGCACAAATGAGCAGGGTCAACATCCCCAAGCTTTCCCTTGTGCTTCGGCACATCTTGAGACCGGTGACTTCGAGCCTGCAAAGTGGCTTGCACCCGTCCTGTCGAAATACATGGTCGAGCGACTCGCGAGCCACTTGCCAGCAACTTTTTCAGCGCCTTGATGCTGTTCTCTGGGAATGAGGATGCTAGGCCCTGCTTGAGGGTCCCGTTCAACCCATGCTCGGTGGCAAAAAGTCTCCTCATTCCTGGCTGGGCGCAAGTGAGCCACTATCGAAAATGAGACCTGCCAGAATAGAGGGGTGTCGGTTCTTGAGTATCGCATAAGATCTTCGTATATTCAACAGCACATATTCCTGACAAACCGTCCTTGCTGATATGTGCTTTTGGCCCAGGCAGTAGATGACCTGTGTTTGATGCCACAGTGATAGATAAACAAATGGCTTGATAGAGTCAACCTTTGTTCCTCAAATCTGGGGCTGTTAGCATCTGAAAGCGCTCTGAGACTGGTGAATTCGCCCTGAATTAGATTCTCCTACCGCATGAACCGAGTATTGATCAAGGACAAATTTATATGGAATCAGTTTTTGCCCAGTTCAGAGGTTGCCGTGAACGCCGCTGCAAGTTTGCATGTTGCCACCATAGACTCTGCTGCTTTAGCGCTCGCCCGTTTTCTGAGCGCCATTGGGGAGCTCAGGCTTTCAGATCGGCCAATCAGTAGTCAGAGTCGGATGGGTGGATAGGTGGCTCGTCCTCTTTGTTTTTTGAGGGTACCATGTGGTTGTTGAGCTTTTTCGCGGAAACGACCAGGAAGAAAACAAGCTTGCGGGTCCGCGACAAAAAGAAACCTGTGTTTGCTTGGTTGTTTCCTCTCTGACACAGACTCGTATCGTGGGATGGCAGGAGACATGTTTGGCAGTGGTTCACAGAAGTTGCGCTGCGCGACGTCTTCTCCGCTTGGCCGCGCTGCTAGATTGGTAAAGAAGCGCGGGGAGCCAGCACCGGTCGTGTGTGCGTGTGAGTGTGAGTGTGGGGGGTGGTTTCGAGGAAAACAAAGGAACTCCACAATTCTCGGGGTTGCCCCAATTTTGACAAAATACTTGATGTTTAGTATTGGTGTTTGTTTTTCTGTTTTTTGACACTATTGCCGTTGTTGGTGGTCGGGTTGTTGATGTTTGTGTTGGCGGTTGGTGGTGTTTGTCTTGATGTCGTTGTTGTTCTTCTTGTTCTCACTTGTGCGGGGTTTGGCCAAAATGGGAAAATGGCGGTGTTCTTCTTCTTTTTTTAAAACCAACGCCAACGTTTTGATGCGATGTAGTCGTGCCCAATCTTACCGTCCTTGTTGTGCCTCTTTGCAAAGGTGGACAGACAGGCCCACAGCCCGAAGCGGCCTTGCCAGTTTTGAATAGAAGGAATCGGGTCCGAAGGTTTCCCAAAAAGCGGCCCCTCCCCCGCTTGTACTCACAAGGGTTGCAACGCGTCGTGCCGATTCACCCGCCAGCTCTCCCGTCGTCAAACCAACCTGCCGAAAAACAGAAACATAGAGAAAAACACATAAGGAAACCGCGGGGCGTTCCAACCGCGCTTCCGGCAGCGATTTTGGCTTCAAGCTGATTTTTGCGCGGTTCGATCATCAACTCATGGCGGCAGTCAAGGAGACCCGGAAGTCCACCTGGCTGGAGGTGCTTGGTCTCGCCGGCGACTTTAGCCACTTCAACCGCGCAGCTTGAAAGACGGCTGGGGTTGCTGGCATGCCGGTGTGCTTTCGGGTTGGTTTGGGTAAGAATAGAGTGCAACCTGGTTTTTCCAGGTTCGATCATCTACCAGGGCCATCTATTTTCCAACAAGGACGCCTATGGCTTCAGGTGGTTGCGGTTGGTCAGCGAGATGCTCTACAGATTTGGGTGTAGTTGTTTTTTGTTTCTGGCTGGTTTTTAAGGGAATCCGAAGGGAAACTAGCAGATAGACAGACGGACAGACAGATAAATGGGTAGATAAGATGATGCTCAAACAGATGCATGGACGAATAGGCATATGGATCGACAAATCTATAGGTCAACAGGCTGGTAAATGGATAGGCAGGGCGCGCACAACACACACACACACAACCGTAGCTTCTGGCACTCAATCTGCATTTGGGGGTTCAAAGAGTTTGTCACTAGGATCTTGTTTGGCCCCTGGCTGATTGTCCCACACTTGCATTCTGGTGGATGTCACAGACGCTAACACATTTAAACGTCCGGGGTTCTTGCGGGCAAGCGCTCATGCGCCCCTGACTGTCCATGTTCTTTCACACTCTTTGCATTTGCGGATGCTTATTCTGACGCTGTGACTTGTTACACGCACTGTAAGTTGCCGACAGCTTGACAATGCTGGCAGGTTCACATGCCATAGAGAAAAAAGACTCCAGAGGAAATGAATCGAGATTAATTGGTGAGGCCCTTGCTTAATTACTTAGCAACTATTCTTTTTGTGCAAGTTGACACCCGCGATGCCTTCCCACATGGGCTTCAAGCGCGAATCCAATCCATTTCAGAGCGGGCATGTGCTCCGTGCCACGCTGGTCTATAAGGCGTGGACATATATGGCGGGGGCCGTCTACATGTCAAACGGCGAATGTGGATCAATGACTTTAATGCTTTCTCACGTATGGCCACCGTATGGCCCACAAGACTTGACCTCGCACAGGATGCTGAAACCGCGCAGTGTGACGACCAACAGCTGTGAAGAACAATAAAACTTCGTCTGTGGGCGGAGCAATGTTACAATGTTTATGATATAACAGAGTAGAAGAGGGTGCCAGGAGGGACCCCAGTCCAAGTGGCAAAGGTTGGGATTGGTTTAACATTGGTTTAGATTGGTTTAGTATTGGTTTTATGATTGGCAAATTCCATTTGTTGGGAGATGTTGGGGCTGGGAAGCAACATAGTTCTTAGGCTGTCGCGCCTTTTTATTGATAGGGTAGGAACGGCTTATAGGCAAACATTGACAGGGTCAACATGGGCCTCTCTCGCGGATTTGACTCAGGCAGATCCCTTCAATGTGAAGAAGGTTGGCTCCAGCTACAAGCCCCTCAGCGGGCAATGTGGGCTATGAATTTTGGTACGGGGCTTTTTGACCCCTGTCAAAAGTGGAAAGGTGGTTGGGTGACGTGAATCCCCACCGAGTTCTGATGTCCACCACTTTGTGTCCCTAATTAGAACTCATGCGCCCAATTGTTTGAACCTGTCGCTCAAAACCAAGTGCCGCAACATCCAGCCAGCCAGGCCAAAGGAAGGTTCCGGGAGGTCGCAAAACGAAGATGGAGTTTCAATACGGGGGAAGGACCTATGTTCCAGGTCGAAAGCCACTAACGAAGGCCCCCGTCGATGCTTATTCCAGCGGTGTCAACCTTGAAGATGCGCGCAGCACACTTTGCGCGTATATCGCTGGATGGTTGGCTTGGAGCAGACTACATGTGCAAGGAGTCGTATGACGTCCAAAGCTATCTTGTGGTCAGTGTTGGGCGGTGATTCTGGTTTGCCAGGGTTGTTGCGCGTGCTTCTTTTTGGCCATTGGTGTGTTTTTGTTCGCTGCTTCGTTTGTTTGTGTGGCCTTTGTTTTCGCAGTGTGCTTTTGCGAGTTGGTAGTCTTGTGGAGTTTGTGTGAGGTAAAGCGAATACGCAAGCACTGCTTTGGTGTGACTGAATCATGCTGAACGACACCACTCCAACGTCCGAAGATATTTTGCTGCGTTGTGGTGGTTTGTGGTATCTTAAAGACGGAAGGAACTGGGCTGGACAGTGAATGGCAAACCCAGCTTGCTTCCATCTCCCTTGGACAAACACGTAGTTGAAACCGAGGGACGGCTTCACCCCAACTTGCAGTGCGTGCCATTGTACCCATCGTTGTTTTTGTCGGGTAATCTATGGGTGGGTTTGGATTTGGATTTTGATATGTTTGTTTCTTGTTGAGGTTTAACTGGGACACCACCCAACCTTCAAAGCACCAGGCTCCAAACATCAAACCGGTGGTTCCGCTTCTGTTCTGACCGAGTTCGTCTACGCTGCCAGGTCAGAAATCCGCGCAGGGCTGACGACTTTCCTGGCCATGGCCTACATCCTTCCCGTGCAGCTTGGCGGAGATGGCTTGCAGCCTGAGCTTCAATTTTCTTGAGGTGTTTCTTCCCCTGGTGTTTCAAAAGGGAATCTATCGCAACTGGACTTTTTTTCCAGGGGACTTGAGCAAATGGAGGTTACCATTTGCCAAAGCAATTGTTGTGAGTCGTGTCGCTGGTTTGCTGTTCCCCTTTGGTGGGTGAGTGTGGTCACTTCGCAGTTCCTGTGAATCTCAATAGCTCACATAACTTCTTCGATCTATGGCTGAAGAATACATCAGCTACGCATCTGACGGGTTGGGGTTTGCAGCCCACACAATCAAAGCACACCCAGCCCACTTTAAAGTGCCCTTTGATTCTTTGCGCGGGGTGCACATCTGAAGCGAATCGCTTTTTTTCTGTCTGCGGATCCCTTCATTGCTTTGATTAACCTGACGTCTGCCCCAGACTCTTCTCATCAAGCAATTGGCTGCTTCTTCTACCTTCAGGCTAGCCAACGGTTTGGCATTGTAGCACGACATCTTTTCCAATGCAAACCAACACTTGAGAGGAAGCAAGACGCAAGCAAACAGAAAGCCAACGCGAATGATCACCACTTTCTTCGGTAGGCAGCTTGTCGACGGCGGTTTAGTTACTCTTCTTGCTCGCAGGGGGGTCCTAAGGCTTTAGGGGCGCAGCAGTTTGTTTGGCTCGTCTGAAGATTGACCAAAACTGATCATCAAACGTGATTCGGGGAACGTAGGACTGCTGAATTGTGACCGTGGCTCTGAGGGCTGTGGACAGAAAACGGTATTCATACCAGTGTTCTTTTTCGGCTTCGCGAAGGACGGCTTTCGGATATGACGCCGCTGCTTTGAGAACATTCAGCTGGATTCACAATGTCTTGCTCGAGCACGCGCGCGCCAAAGTACAAAACGATGAAGGGTGCGAAGCAAATGGAAAAGTAAGTACAGAGCAAGAAATTCGGCGATCGGTGAAATCCTGCATTGCCGTATGCTATGCATTCTAGTAATCACCGAACAAACAAACAAACCCTTTTGCAAGAAGTCTTGGATGACGAATGACGAGGTACGGGGCAAATTGCAACGCCCTGTCATCCAAGGAACAGCGGCATGCTCTCCATCGCCATGGGGCAAGAGTTCCGCCCGCAGCTGGTTTGCGCGACCGCTCTGGCCGGGTGCATTGGATGCACCTTGATGGGCCTCCTGTCCAACCTGCCATTCATGTTGGCACCGGGCATGGGTGCCTTGCCAGAATTAGATGCGCTTCTGGACATGTCGCTGTGGTGTTCTTTGCAGGTTGGCTCTTCATGTTGCCGTTTGTGCAATCGAGCTGTCCAACTGCTTCTGGGTGACAGAGAAACCCCTCTTTGGTGCATTTTGCTTGGATAATAGGACTTTAACTTTTTGCCAACTCATGGGTTTCCCGCAAAGTGCAGGGGAGCAGAAAGCAACCGAGCCCCAGCCAGGGTTCGTCCCGCTGGAAAGATCGCAGGAAACGAGCTCCAGACTCTGAGGCACCAATGCCTTCTTCACCTTCACGGTGGTCCTGACCAATGGCATGCCTTGGAAATCCGCACTGGCCGGTGTCTTCACCGCTGGCCTGATCTTTGTGTTCCTGTCGCTCACCGGGTTGCGCACAATCCTGGTGCGACTCTTTCCGAAGGGCCGCTTGGATCTTTACACTGGCAGATTGTTCCCCATCAACGTGACCAGCTCGCAACGAATCTGTGTTGAAGTTTGATCGCTCATGCTGGAAACAGCTTGGGCTCCAAAATGGAGAACAGGAATCAACATGTTGCGTCACCCGGAGGGAGTGGCTTCTTCGTATCGCAAGACATGTGCTTGCTCACTGCTTGTTGCGACAAACCAGGTCCTCGATGGCCTGGAGGGGCGCATAAGGGGGGGGGGGGTTATGGGTGATTGTGTGGCGAATCACATGAACAGCGGAGCAAAGTACCAAAGTTGCACCATGGCCATCACTCGTGGCACCGTCAAGACCTTTGCTTCTTCTTGCAAAAACATGTGTGTCTTTCCGTTGGTTTTTGGATGTTTTTGGCATGAATGTAGTTGCACACTGACTTGAAGTGGATGGATATCGCTGGACAAAAGCCGTCACTCGAAGCGCGGCAACCCCCCCTGGCTGACCCGACATGCTGTTTATGGTTTTGCCGATGTAATCATCATGCTGGCAACATGAACGGTTGGAACTCATTTGGCCATCAATTTTAGTGGGGTGTCACCCTGTCAATGGTTGGTGGACATAAATCTTACCTAATGAAGTCCACCATTTTGGGTCCCGAATTGAAATGCATGGCCATTTGAGGTTCCCAACTATGGCGACTATTTTGGGTGTGAATGGTAAGGCTGTCTGTGTATCTTGCAGCAAACGGAACACTGCGTGCATCCGGAGCACCCACTCTGCAAGCGCGACACTGGCCAATAGTACCAAATGACACTTGAACATGCAGGAAGCACTCGGAGAACTTTGAAAAATCAACTCCTTAGACTCGTGGAGTCTAGTATATGGGTGTGTCCAAAAACAGGGGGGCCATCAGAGGTTGGTTTCCCTCTTCCCCAAAAACCATCCCTAGGAGCTCCGGAACAGCCCCCTAGATTGAAGCTCAAGCTTCGCAGTTGCTGCTTTTTTCATTGAATTGGTTCAACCCACGCTCCAAATTGACGTTTTTAGATGGATTTGGTTCAACCCACGCGTTTTTAGATGGATTTGGTTCAACCCACGCTGCAAATTGACGTTTTTAGATTGATTTGGTTCAACCCACGCTCCAATTTGACGTTTTTAGATGGATTTGGTTCAGCCCACGCTCCAAATTAGCGTTTTTAGATGGATTTGGTTCAACCCACGCTCCAAATTGACGTTTTTAGCTGGATTTGGTTCAGCCCACGCTCCAAATTCACGTTTTTACATGGGCCCACGCTCCAAATTGACGTTTTTAGATGGATTTGGTTCAACCCACGCTCCAAATTAGCGTTTTTAGATGGATTTGGTTCTGCCCACGCTCCAAATTAGCGTTTTTACATGGATTTGGTTCAGCCCACGCTCCAAATTGACGTTTTTAGATGGATTTGGTTCAGCCGCTCCAAATTGACGTTTTTAGATGGATTTGGAGCCCACGCTCCAAATTTACGTTTTTAGATTGATTTCGTTCACCCCACGCTCCATTGATGGATTTGGTTCAACCCACGCTCCAAATTGACGTTTTTAGATGGATTTGGTTCAACCCCCCACGCTCCAAATTGACGTTTTTTGATGGATTTGGTTCAACCCACGCTCCACATTGACGTTTTTAGATGGATTTGGTTCAACCCACGCTCCAAATTGACGTTTTTAGATGGATTTGGTTCAACCCACGCTCCAAATTAGCGTTTTTAGATGGATTTGGTTCAGCGCACACTCCAAATTAGCGTTTTTAGATGGATTTGGTTCAACCCACGCTCCAAATTGACGTTTTTAGCTGGATTTGGTTCAGCCCACGCTCCAAATTAGCGTTTTTAGATGGATTTGGTTCAACCCACGCTCCAATTTGACGTTTTTTGATGGATTTGGTTCAACCCACCCAAATGACGTGTTTTTTTCCAATTCATTTGGTTCAGCCCAAAGTCCAATTTGACTCTTTCTTCTCTCAATTGTTGTTTAATCCAAACTCCAAATTGACGCTTGTTCGATTCATGCGGTTCAACCCAAGCTCCAAATTGACGCTTCTTCCATTGATATGGTTCAACCCATGCTCTAAATTGACGTTTTTAGCTTGACTTGGTTCAACCCTAGCTCCAAATTGATTATGTGTTTCCATTGAATTGGCTCAACCCAACCTCCGAAGTGACTTTTTTTGTTTTCGATTGATTTGGTTCAGCCCAAACTCCCATTTGACCCTTTCTTCATTCATTTGTTGTTTAACCTAAGCTCCGAATTGTCGCTTGTTCGATTCACGCGGTTCAACCTAAGCTCGAAATTGACGCTTCTTCCATTGTTATGGTTCAACCCAAACTCAGAATTGCCGCTGTTTTCATTGAATTGGTTCAACCCAAGCTCCAACAAATTGTCGCGTTTGCCATTGATTCGGTTCAAAGCTTCAGATTGGTTCGAGAGCTGGATGCTAGGCGTGAAGGGCGCCATCGGTGCCGGTGTGGGGCTTTTCCTCACGCTGATTGCCTTTCAGGGCTCTGAAGGCCGGTGGGGGGTGAAGCGCTGGAGCTGTTGGCACCCAGTGGGGTCGTTGCGGGGGTTGGGGGGTTTTAGAGGGCCCCCCTCCCCCCTCCCCCGGGGGTGTTGCAGGAAGAGCTTGGGGGTTGGGATGTTGGGGTTTTGGGGTGTTGGGTTTTGGGGGGTTGGGGGTTTAGGGGGGCGGTTTCTTCTTTTGTTCGGGGATAAAAATCTGAAGGAAGCTCGTAAGGTTTTGGAGGTGTCCCCAGTTTGAGACCGTGTGGGGGAAAAGAATTGGTCGACCCCTCCTTCCGTGACCTGGCGATTGATGTTTCTCCAGGGCTCCTCATGGACTGATGGCCAACTCAATCGGAGATTCTCAATACAATGATCCTGATAAAGAAATATCATGCTTTGCAAGAGCCCTCTCTCCCTCTCTCTCTTTCTCTTTCTCTTTCTCTTTCTCTTTCTCTTTCTCTTTCTCTTTCTCTTTCTCTTTCTCTTTCTCTCTCTCTCTCTCTCTGTCTCTCGGGGCAGCCTTCAGGTAGGCTTGTTGGTATAGCATGTCCAATTTCGGGGAATTGGTGTGCTCTCGCTCATACACCCGTCTCCCTGTAACTGTGTCACACTTATCAGCACGCAGACTCCTTTCCCCGCAAATAAGAACAACTGAAGGACAAATCAAAAAGGGAACGTACCAGGGACATGCAAGATGGGCTATGCGTGTACGGCAATATCGAAGGGATTGGTTGCTTGATTTGCTTGGTTGAAATTGTGATGAGCAGCTAGGAATCAGCCTTGCGCAACCTTGGTAGAAGAAAGGACATTGACATCCAGGGTTGAGCTCGAATCCGCTTCGGCATGTGGCGTATGTGTAGCAAGGACGCAAGTGCACCTTTGGCACGCGCCAACCACATGTACAGCCAGTGGCTGCAACTATCACAGCGTGTCACAATGAACAAATGAATGGCCAATGGGAGCGGAGTAGTCAAGCGCCGATTCCATGAAAGATACCTGGGTGCTGTGAATTGCCCATAGTGCTTGCAGCTGTTGCAAATGTCATTTGCTAGAGAGCAGCTAAGACTCGCGGCCATTCTCTTGCGCTGCCATCCTTCATCCTGAGAACTGGGAGACGTCTTGCTTTGAGCCTGAATACTTCCACTTGTGTCAGAACCAGGCGTTTCGCGTAAAGAAATGTACACATGTATCTATGGTCAACCGCAGAGTTCCAACACATCAGCGGCAGGTATGGGCCTCACCGTGGACAATCCTGCCACGTTGGCAGCCTTGCTGACCTTGGCAGATGTTCGTTTTCTGGAGTCTGAATTTCGCAGAGCTGCATGTAAATTGATTTTTTGAGACTTTGGACAGCTGGCAAGAAGTCATATTGACAATCTTGTTGAAGTTGTTTTTGTTCACTGAAGCCATCCCTGTCCTTTCACCAAGCCGCAAGCTGACACTGACCGTCATTGGTCACCAGCCCTTGGGACCTGACCGTGTTGCTGCCTTGCTGCCTTGCGCGACCTTAGCACCGCGCCTCGCGCCGGGCTGCGCAACTTGCGTGGCTAAGGTCGGGCTGATCGACTTGAGCGGCGAGAACTACGATTCGGCCAAGGTATGGCTGAGCATCGCCGAGCTGCGCCTGTGGCTGACAAAAAAAGCGCTGCTTCAGACGCGTGATTGCGTCTGCCATTTTGCAAAGCTGCTTTGCCCCAGTCATCCAAACACATCCTCCGTTAAAGGGGAGAGCACGGTGAAAGCTCAACTCTCAGTGATCAATGGTTTGTGTTTGTGGGGTGGAAGATTGCACTGCAGGTGCATTACTGGCGTGCTCCTGGCGGCCAACATCCGCGGGGCACTGTTGCAAGTCTGAAGTCATAGTGGCTGAGATGCTTCCAGGAACTCTCGCTTCTTTCATTTAGAGTCAACTGCCGGTTTTTCAGCTTCTCCTAGAGTGAGCCCTCTGTCCGGACTTGCCTTTCGACACAGGGAGCATCTTCGCTGCTTCTGCTTGGGTCCGAAAAAGCGGACCTGCTGCTCGCTCTGTTCGATGCTCCAAGAGCCCTGGAGGAAAGCAGCTTCCAGGGATCTAGGCTTGCAGGTGAACGAGAGAGCCCAAACTTGCAGGGCTGGTTCGACCAATCAGCCATGCGGCTAAGAAAGCAAGTGTGTGTGTGTGTGTGTGTGTGTGTGTGTGTGTGTGTGTGTGTGTGTGTGTGTTTGTTTGGCATGTTTGTGTCATTTGCTGTGTTTGCGCGTTTTGTGTGTGTGTGTGGTGTGCGTGTGCGAGTGCGAGAGTGTGTGTGTGTGTGTGTGTGTGGTGTGTGTGTGTGTGTGGGTGCGTGCGTGCGTGCGTGCGTGCGTGCGTGCGTGCGTGCGTGCGTGCGTGCGTGCGTGCGTGCGTGCGTGCGTGCGTGCGTGCGTGCGTGCGTGCGTGCGTGCGTGCGTGCGTGCGTGCGTGCGTGCGTGCGTGTGTGTGTGTGTGTGTGTGTGTGTGTGTTTGTTTGGCATGTTTGTGTCATTTGCTGTGTTTGCGCGTTTTGTGTGTGTGTGTGGTGTGCATGTGCGTGTGCGAGTGCGAGAGTGTGTGTGTGTGTGGTGTGTGTGTGTGTGTGTGTGCGTGTGTGCGTGTGTGCGTGTGTGTGTGTGTGTGTGTGTGTGTGTGTGTGTGTGTGTGTGTGTGTGTGTGTGTGTTTGTTTGGCATGTTTGGCATGTTTGTGTCATTTGCTGTGTTTGCGCGTTTTGTGTCTGTGTGTGTGGTGTGCGTGTGCGTGTGCGAGTGCGAGAGTGTGTGTGCGTGTGTGAGAGTGTGGTGTGTGTGTGTGTGGGTGGGTGTGTGTGTGTGGTGGTGTGGTGTGGTGTGGTGTGGTGTGAGTCTCTGCATCTGAGTGCCTGCGCGACTGACTCTCACTCTCTCTCTCTCTCCCTAACTTTCTCTCTCTCCTCCTCTCTCTCTCTCTCGCTCTCTGTTTGTGTGTGTGTGTTTTGCCCTTGTTTGTGAACGTGGGAGAATCTAAGGCTGATTGGCATCGTGTTTGGCACCGTGGTTTGCTGGATCGAGGGAGCCGCACGTGGAGTGGAGAACTCGGCGTTGGGATACCCCTTCGGCTTTACCGGAGACAGGCTCGCAGACTTTGCCTTTGCGCTCGCTTCGACGAAACGGCCTAATCCAAAAGGCTTGCCCTGTGTAGGGTGTTTCCATGAGCGATTTGAGATTGCCACAAAGGGCTGTAAAGAAGACCTGGTGAAAAGCAGGTTGACATTTTTTGCTGCCAGTCTGGCAGAACTCAGAAGCCGCCAAAGTTTCAAAGCCAAGTTTTTAGGCCTTAACAAATATGTGTTAAAATAGGGGACCCAAGCAAATGGGTGGGTCCTTTTGGATTCCCTTTAAAGCACCCCATTGTCAGGGTAGCCTCAAACAGTTTGACACACCCTCAATCGCATGCGCAGGACAACCGCGAATGGCTTCAGAATCTACGTGCCAGATGCCTTTGCGAGCGCTCCCACTCTGGATGGCTTGTTTGGCGCCGTCTTCGAGGGCCCCTCTTGGCTGCAAGCTAAAGCGACGCGTGGCTTGTGCCGTGTGTGCAACCTGTTAACTTATTTTGGTTACAAAACGCGGTCGGAGATGTAAGATGACGCAGAGATGCACATTGCATTTTACATTCATCATACCTTGGCTTGTCGGGGTTTTCATCTGATTCCACTCCAGCATATTATATCCCATGAAAAACAGTTTGTCGTGAAGTATCAGTTGCTAGCCATTATGCTCAGGGGGGTCTTTCTGCCACCTTTTGTGAGAAAATTGGCGACCCCCTCAACAAGAAATGCTTCACTACAAGGGGTCGATCATTTTTCCACCAAAGGTGGCAAAAGACCCCCCTGCAAGGTGTGCAGTTTACCTGCAACTCAACGGTCGTTCCTTCAGAGGCGCTTTCCCATACGCGCATCAAGCGGGCAGGAAGCAAGTGCTGCGCCTCGCTTGATGCAAAGGGCAAAGCAAATGATCTGCTGAAGCGGCGCGTGGGAGCCCATAGATGTGGTGCATGCAATGTAGCAAGCCGTCTTGCTCCAGCCTGCAAAATATTTGACTACTGGTTTCTGCAATTGTTCCATTGCTCAGGTGTGGTGTATCTTTTCTAAGACGACCCCCAAAAATGGTTGCTTCCCCTTCAAAGCCCTCAAAAAAGGTGGCTACCCTAGAAAAAAAAACCAGGCAGACCCAGTCGTGAAGCGGGCATCCGTTCTTTGTTTCATTAGCTTCCCCTGGCCGCATGTGAGCAGGCGATTGAAAGGGGGTGGTCATAAGGGCCCCCTGCGTAAGGAAAACACGTGGCGGCGTAAGGCCGCGCAAGCTCTTTTTCGAGGAAAGTTTACGTGGACACTGGTGCGGGTGGGTGCCCGTGCGCACGTGCATGCGCGTGTGTGGCGAAAGCGGGCGTACGGAAAGCATCCAGTTTCGTATGGAGTTGTTTCGCGTGCAAGGTTTGCGCAAGGGAAGCTTATATAAATGCAAGCGCGTAAGAAAACCTGCATTGCGCGTAAGCTCGGGCAAGCACCTTGGCGTAAGAGTTCCTTACGACCTAAATTTGAACAATACCTTTTGAACGTCGCTCATGTGAGGCTTCGACGCTCTCTCGGACCCCGCGCTCCTGGCGAGCTTCTGGACGGCGGTCTTCACCTTCTGCTACACGGAGCATGGGGGGGAACCCCCCCGCGAGAGCACGTGTGGCCGTGGGTGAAATCCAGGCAAACCCCGAAATGGCTTTCCCCGGAAAATGGAAACAAGGACCAAAACCTCCGGTCCCTGGTGGTTGAATGTTGACCCAAACCCATGTTAGTGGACAGGAGGCTAGTTTTTCTTTTCTGCCCTTTGATTTTGAAGCGTGTTGAACTTGTTCCTGGCTAGCCATTTGGATGACTTGTGGATGGGACTATCTTCAAGTTCCAGGAATGTTTTCCAGAGCGGCTAGCAAAGCAACCAGGTATGGATTTAATTGTGTAGTATGTATCGGATGATCAAAGCTACAAGAAGCTTTCGCATGCAAGCGCAACCCGATCAACAAATAGAGATATTTGGGTGCTGTTTCGTTTCCCCTTCTGGGAAACGGACAAACAGTAGCAACAAGCTAACGTCTTGCTTCGTGTCGAAGCAAGCCCGGACTATGATTTGCAGCCCACCCAATTTGCGCAAATGATGTTTAACTATGCAAAAGCGTACCCAGGAAAACACCGCAGCAGTGCAGGGGCTGCCAATGCAACCAGCAAAGGGCAAGGCAGCTGCTAAAGCGACAGCAATCACAACTTGAATGAAGTAGAGGAGCATGTGTGTCTGTGTGTCTGTGTGTGTTTCTTCATTGTATGTTGTGGGGGCATTCAACTCCTTTGTGTCATGGATCATATCTTTTTGGTCAGACTTTCTTCTTTCCAAACCAAAAGCATTCATGGACGCAGACCAACTAGTGCCCCTTTGGTCAACCCCCTGCCAGAAGCTTCTGTACCAGGACTAGATTTGGTCGCGTTAGAGGTTTAACCAGGGTCAAAATGGACCTTATGGATCGCAGGACCTGTTGGATTCGTCTGGAACCTTCATCGCCGTGGCCAAGGTGGGAACGCAACGGGTCGTCCAGCATTTCCAGACATGGCGACTGTACCTAGCGCTTGATGTGGTACTGTGGATGGACGAAGTCCTGCACCACTTTGAAACCATGAGAAACCAATGGGAAACCATTGCTTGTTGGTATTTACAGGGGAATCATCTCTCCAGGGTTTCTTAGGTGGTGCAGGATTTCGTCCATCCACAGTATCACTGATCTAGTGTTCAAGTAGGAAGCTTCTGCAGCGCAGCTGGCAGCAACGGTCAGCTACCCTCAGTTTGTGCAGGGTAGGGCAACTGGGTCCAATGATTCCAGTGAATCATCTTTCAACAGGTCCAATGTATGAAGTAAGTCGTGAACCTTCTCCCAGCTCACATGAGCTTACTTCCAATTTTTTACTTGGCATCTTGCGCGACGATTTCGCAGATGTGTTGCTTCTGGTTTCGAGACCACATTTTTGGTCGGCGCTTCATTGCCCAGATTCGAATTCGCTTGGCTGGGGAAGCGACTTTCCGCTTTCTTCAGGTGCCGGCCTCACTCATCCCTTCGCCAGGATGTTTGGCAAGAGTTGCTTGCGGCCCCTGGCAAGACAGTAATGGATGTGCACAGTTTTCTGGATGTTAGGGTGCCCTCTGAATATCTATCAAATACATGTGCATGTATAGTATTTAGTTAGTATAATTACACACTTTCCACTGAACCTGCCATTGCTGAGAGGTAGTAGTTTTATCACAGAGAGATTGTACTTCATTGTTCTGGCATTTTTTTGGTTTTCAGTGTGTTTTGGTTCTCTTCGTTTTTACTGGGGGCTGCAAACACAAGTTTTTTGCTACTATACCAAGAGTTCTAGGGTGTAAATTCTGCGAGCGCGCGTTAGAATGGGGAGTTGCGAGTCTCACTGGCAAGCGGGACTCCCAGCGTTCAACCGTGACAGGTGCATGTGTGATCACTGGTGGAGAAACCTGTTTTGTTTGGGTGCTGGTGACCCTTGATTGGTGGTTTGGATTGCTTTTTAGGCCTTGTTCTTGTAGGCAGTAGATGTGAAACCACTTAACCTCTAAGCCACCAATCCAAACCACCTAGAGGGAAGCTGATTTTGTGGGCATCCGTTGCTTGCAGAACTGCAGTCAATGCAGACAGGTTGCCGGCCTTACTGACTCCCGCGGCAACGTCCCAACCAAGCGGCAGAACATGGCCTTCCTCGCAGATGCGGCGCCTTGTTCTGCGTGTCGTCCGTCGTTCAAAAGGTGGGTCCCATACAAAGTCAGCCGCCCACTGAGAGATTTCTCGAGAGACTAGTTCAGGGTGTGTGCTCCTAGGAATTGAGCGGCACATACGGCTGAAGACTGAAATCATCATACTAACGAGGTGTCAATTCATTGGGCAGCTGTACTGCATGCAAAGCGCTCGGTCAGAGACCCAGGGGCTCATCAGACACATCCCCAAATTGCTGTTGGCTTTAGGACTTTAGGACTTCCTAGTTGCAGATAGAGACTCGGGGGATCAAGTTTGGAGTTTCGCCCAAGTTCCTCCACTGAGAAGGGTGGGCCTTAGGTGGCTGAAGTTTGGAATTTCGCCCGAGTTTCTCCATCGAGAGAGCTCAAAAATGGCCCACCGGGGGCGCATTTGTTTCCGCGCCTTTTGCTGAGACAAGGGTTCTTGGGTGGCCTTGGCTAGCCTGTGGCCCCTGCGCCCTGCTGCGAGACCTCCAGCGTCATTGGCTCGGTGCTGGGGGTCTCCACCGTGGGCACCTTCGCCGAGAGCTCCGCCGGCGTGGCGGACGGCGCCAAGACGGGGCTGTCGTCCTTGGTCACCGCCGGGCGCCCTCGGCACGCACGCAGTGCACGCGCTCGGCGAGTGGATTTTCGGGATTTTTAGCGCGGGAATCGGGGATTTCATGGAGTTCGGATTTGGGGAAGGGGGGGGCCTTCTTTCAAGAACCTGGGCCCTTGGAAATTCCAATCCAATTGGATTGCAACTGGTTGTTTGGTTCTTTCAATACTTTGGGGGAAGCGGGGTGTGGCTGGTGCCATTCCGGACTTTCCTTCTGGAGCACAAAGGGAGAGTAAGTAGCAGGAATTCGGTTGCATTGAGGGAAGCTGCAGGGTTTGCTTTTTGCGATGCTGGAGGTCCACCGACGTGTTGGGAGTTCGACCAGTTTGCATTTAAGGGAACAGCCGAGGCATGCTCTGGCTACAATGGCGTTGCGGTCCTTGCGACGAGGGTGTTGTTCTCCATGTTGCCTTACCTTGAGCGGTTCTGCGACAGGGGCCATGATTCCGTCATGTAGCAAGGTTCGCTCAAAGCGCGAGGGAAGCCTCAACTCGCGGCGGGTCGTTGATTGCAAGTCAGGACTTTGATGGTCGTGGCTGTGTTTTCTTGAGAGCACGTGCTCCCCGGGCGGCATGGTTCCATCCGAGAATCCCAAGGAACAAAGATCCCCAAGAGGCGTGAAGCAACGAGCCCAGGTATGGGATCCATTTGGTGGGGTAGAAATGCCTTGGGATGCTTTTGCTGTAATGGGAATGAGCGCCATCACCTCCTGTTGCTTCCAGAGCCTGCGAGTGTAGCAACGAAAAGATGAACAGATGGGTTTGGCTTTTGCACTCGAACGAGCCGCTCTGGCCCTAATCTGAGCAACTTGTTTTCAAGTCCTGAAGGCTGTGCCGTGAATTAACCTCAGCTCCTGGGCTCTTTGAACAACCTCCATTTGGGTGTTTCTCATAGGCACGGGTCCCCTAAATGGACACAGTTGCCTTTTGGTTTCCCTTTAAATACCAATCAAGCTGGGTTCCACCCATTCAGAGAAGCTCCTTGTGTATTGGATTGTGTTCCGCGGAGACCTCTGGGAGTGTGTCCGATGGGCCAACGATGGGCCGACTCCCTGTGGAATTCGAAATAGGGTACATCCCTCCACCTTAGAATAGGAACCTGGAAAAAGGCGGTGCCTCAAAATCGGTGGTCCTTTTGGTTTCCCTTGAAAAACGACCACCGGTCACCAAAGAGGAGGCACACCCAAACACAAGAGGGGGCACACCCAAACTTGAAGATCAAGGTATCTGAGCTGCAAGAGGCTTCTGGCTGCAGACTTGCTATCGCCTAGGTGCTTCTTCCTGTCGCTCTTCTTCTCGCCCATTGTCTCCGCTGTGCCGCCTCTGGCGTCCGGCGCGCCGAGAGAGAGAGCCTGCATGGGTGCAGAGGGGGACACATCGGGGTGTGGGTCAAAATAGGTACCCAAAATGGAACCCCGGTAAATGGAAAAGTTGACTAAAACCTGCGGTCCCCTGGTGTTTTAACTTTGACCCATACCCACCTGACACTGCCCAGTACCCGCCATCAGTTATTTAGATTGCCCGGCTTCGCGCTAGAATCAGGAAGCTTCTCAGCAATCTTCAGGTGCCGTGGTGCTGATTTTTCTTAGTTGCTTATCTTTAACGAGGGTCAGTGCGACACTTTGTAGCCGCGCGATGAACCTGACACTGCATTCCCCAACAGTTCAACAGCAACCTTTGGCAGTGTTATGGTGCAGAGCAACGGAGACTGGCCACTTGGCATGCGGCCGTGTTTGCCGACAAGGCCAACAGCGTCTTGTGTTTTCTTACGGCTCATCCAAGGGCTGCAAGGGCTCCTTGCATGCTAATAGGACGACCAATTCTGCTAGCCATAGGCGGTTTGCAGGCAACCGCTATGCGGCTGATTTTTGTGTTCATCTTGGAGAGAGGGCGGAGCTCTTAGAGAGTTGTTTCATGTCTTGAGACTTGGGAGAAGGACTCCCAACTTGAAACTGGACCATAGACTATCAGAAAAGTGAATCGACCCTCACATGGGCAGCGTTTTTTTCTTGGAATCAAGGATGTATACAAAAAGGGAACTGCATCATGTCCGCGTAGGCAATTTAGCTGGGGGGCGTAGGCGCGCGGAGGCATCGCGTAGGCATTTCGCGCACATCCTTGTATTTTTTGTTGCGTAGGCGCGCGCGTAGGCACTTGATGGAGTTGTTATGTATTGTCTGAAGCTTTATGTTTTGCAATGCGTATGGACGGGCATGGGTTTGTTCTGCAGTCTTCGCGTAGGCTCCGCAGGCATTCGCGTAGGCTTTCAAGGCATTTTGGGTGCGTAGACCTTTTCTAGCAGCCAGATCCTTGGACAGATGTTGGATTCTCACTTGTACTGCATTTCTGATCTTAGAGCCGGAGCTGCCAAAACTGCACTTGCACTGAAAAGTTGCGATTTTCCAGCTGGAGCTGCCACAGGGCACTTCGACACTTGAACTCAACGCTTGCCCGCGTAGGTGGGCACCTGGAAGCTGACTTGTGATCGCGTAGGCACCCCTCGCAGGCCGCGTAGGCTTGCGTAGGCCTTCGCGTAGGCGCGCAATAGGCGCGCAAGTAGTGTATAGGCCCCGAACCACCAAAAAAACACTGCTCAAATTCTGATTCAGAGCCACGACAAAGGGGATCCCTGGGAAATCAAACATGTTATCACACTTTGGCGGTGCAATCATCTTCCACATCACCTGCTTCTTCTACATCACCTGCATCTGTGTCAGACAACGATTGACTTGGCATTGCAAAGCTCGAGCTGGAAGAAAGCGGCGCGATTTTCTTGCGTAGGCGTCCGCGTAGGCGCGACAAGAGACAAACGTGCGCGCGTAGGCACCCTTGCAGTCGCGGAGGCGTTGCGTAGGCGATCGCGTAGGCATGTGTGCAGTGTATAGGCCCCGAGCACCAACAAAACACTACCCACATAAGATTTGTTTTTTTTCTGCCGATCACTTGTGGATTGGCCGAAGATCTGAATCATGGGAAGGAGGCAAAAAGGACAGGGACTTCCCATGCCTGAGGAAGACTCCTTCGAATGCACGTGGGGAGCGTTTGCTAGAGGTGACCGCAATACGGCCTCAGCCAGTCATCATGAACATGACTTCCCTGCCCATTGCTGATGAGAACACCCGTGAACCCACCACGACCTTCAATGCACAAGGAGCTTACCAGAGGCAAGTGCATCTTTCCAGCTTCAAGGGGGGCTTGACTCGCAACGCGAGTTCACATCCATGAAGTTCTCCGCTTTTCTGAAGGCAAGCGAACTCAAACGAGGCGCTTTTCATGGGCGGAGTTTGACCCGTTTTCACGGGCTCTCCCGCCAGCATTGCACCGACTGCAACTTTGGAGTTGGGTCAACCGAGCCAAGCCTGAAACAAGAACGGAATGGCGGCTGAAGCAAACAGACGTTTTGCAGGGACCACTTCGCAGCCATGGGTAGCCACGTTTTTTCAGCCATGTGTTTGAGACTCGGTGCAGGCCCTGTTCTCGCGCTGATTGGCGTGACAATGATGAGCTGCATCAGAGACATGGAGTGGGACAATCCTGAGGAGTCCGGTTTCAATGGTGTGGCGGTTAGGATTAATTAGTCCTCTCGCAATTGCGGGGTAAGTATTTTCACAGGGTCGAACTAGTTTGCCTCCATCCCTCATGTTTCGAGGCCCTTCACTTGTCTTGCGTCCTCTGCGGTCATGGCATCGCTTTGCAAATCTTCCGATCTGGCCTTGATGTTCCCCCCAAAGGCACAGCTGAGTCCACCTCCCAGGCCACAAGGACTTTTTGTGTCGCAAATAACTCTGACGTAGTTTCCCACCCCCTTCAGACTGTAAATTGGGGGAGGGGGGTGGAATTCGAGTTCTGGTCCCCTTTTCCCTTTTGTGGAGAAGGCGGCAATGGAGCTAGGGCCCCGCCCCCGCCGGCGATCGCCGGCGCCGAGCGACGCCATGGGGGACCTGAAGGTTCCGGTTTTGGGCGCGACTTTTCTCATCGTCGCAAAGGTTCCGGGGGAACTTTGAGCCGAACGCCGTGCCACTTTCTGATTCGCGTGGGTGGAGTACTGATTTGTGTATTGCTTCAGTGGTTCAGTGAGGCGGTTTAGAGATTTGGCCTATGCATTTTTTTTGGGGGGGGACTGAGTGGTTTTGGGGAAAGAGTAGTTTATTGAGGGGGCCTTTACTAAGCGGAAGTGGCTTCACTTCGGAAGGGGAAGCAGCGCAAGCATCCCATGAACGATCTCCACGCGCGACTTCGCCACTTGCGAAAAGAAGCCGGCCACTTCCCCCGTTTCCGATTCAGCTTTGCACTTGGCAATTGAAGGATTTCTACATGGTGGTTGTTGGGAAACATTTTACCTTTTTGCTTCTTGTGGTTTGGGGGTTGAATTCCTTAACCACTTAGATCTGAAAACTTTTTTGCTCCCCAAACCCAAGGTCAACCAAGTCTGGCCTGAGCTTTGGACGTCAATGCGAAATGCAACGGATGAAAGGAGGCGATTCCCGCGTTCTTTTCCATCGTGGTCATGCCCTACACCTTCAGCATCGGCTACGGTGACTTGGGCCATTGGTGGCCTTTGTTGCTCCCGATAGAATCTATGTGTCTTTTTGATTGCCGGGAATCTTTTTTGTCGCCCGAAAAGGGGCACAACAGGAGTCAGAGGATGTTAGCATGAATCCGGGGCCGTTCCGTTGCCTGTTTCTTCTCGTAACAGGTGTAGGAGCTGTTTATCTTCAACACGCTGTGCAAACAAATGCGAGATGAAGCAATGTTTGCACAAGTTTGGTCCTTCATTTGGACACCCCCGCCCGCCCACCCCTCACCCCCCCCAAAAAGAAAAACAAGAATCAATGAATAAAGAATAAAACAATCTCCCCTATTTTGATCATCTTGAGACAAACCCAAACTACAGGTGTGGAGAAATCACGTTCCTTTTCCGAGCCAAACTTGGGGGCCGAAAGGAAATTCTTTCAGAGTGGTACGAAGCAAGTCAACATGGCTATGGCAGAACGACAGGAATTCGCAAAGGAATTCCTTTTTGGGAACGGGCCCGAGAAGCAATAACTATCCGGTTGGATGGCTGGCTAGTGCACAGTGGTGCGCATGCAGTTTAGCCTGTTCGACACCCTCAGCATGATCAGATGAGTGCTGCAGGGGTTCAACGGGATATACAACCACTATAATTTAGCCACCAGGCATATATATATATGTATATATATATATATGTATATATCATATAATATACACCCTTTTTTTCTGGGGGTAGTCGTTTGGGGGTGGAAGTCATATTGGACACGTGCTACATGTACGCCAAGGGGTAAAATGTACGTGACGCGCCTCGTTTTGACGGGTGAACTACTTCACCTGTAGACCCTGGCCGGTCACGCCTGGAACCTGTGTGAAAGGGCGACGTTGGCATTACATGGATTTGTCGTATTATTTGGGGGTACCCTCTCTCCCACTAACATGGCACCTGAAAGGGGGTCCCTGCAAGAGGAGTTTGATCTTCCAGGTACCCTCCGACACGTGCCATGTTAGTTGGAGGGAGGGTACCCTTTGTGGGCTGGTTTTAAGCGGAAACCAAGAGGAACACCACCATTCTGGGGGGGTGCCCCAAATCCAGACAGCCCCATACACAGCTTAGATAGTAGAGGGTGGGCAGTTTTCGGTTTCTGCGTTGTCCAGCTCAGGCATTGTGGGGGGTCTCCTTTGTTGGCTCGTCTTCCAGATCCTTTTGATGCCCATCCGCCTTATTCGCAAAGAGAACCCCTTCATTCGCTTCCAGGCAGGGATACGCAGGGTACGAACCGTTGGCCTCGTTGTTCGTGTTTGTCAGCCAGCGGACTGTTGACTGCTCCAAGCCAGGATGGACAGAATCCTGCACCAGTTGGTGGGTGTATCCCATTCTCTATAGGGCTTCATCTATCCCAGGCAGTGCAGGATTTCGGATTTCGTCCACCCACAGTAGAAGCTGACTATTTGCCGATGTTGCTTTGAATCTTAGGGTTGCTTGACCTGACTCAGGCTGCCACCCTTCCATTGCCGGCAGCTCTGTCGTGGAAACAGATTTCCAGCGTGTCAAAGGCCACGTACTTAAAGGGCATTGCACTTAGTATGTGGTTAGTAAGCCTTGTTATACCCCATTAATCATGGTCACTTAGTATGTGGTTAGTAAGCCTTGTTATACCCCATTAATCATGGTTATAAGTCTTCTAAGCGGGTTCTAACCAGGCTTACGAACCACTTACTAAGTACCCTGCCCTTTTACGTAGTGAATGGTTGGATCCAACATCTTTGGCGCAGACTGCTTGGATGTCAGGACTTTAACTTTTTGCCAACCAACAAATGGGTTTTCGCCATTAAACCACTAAACATGATTTTTAGCACTGGAGCGGAAAGCAACCGAGAATTAGTTCCTTGGTGGTTCCCAGCCATCGCCTTAGCCTTTTAGACTTTTAGTGTTTAGTGGTAGTTTCCATTTAGCCCACTAGAAGTTAGTCACTTTTAGCGGGGGATCTGAAAACGGGCAGCCCAGGTTCTTCGGGGATGCGCATGTAACTTCCATCGAGAGCCGCAGGAGTTGCTGAACGATCTGTTCAGCGAGGACTCGGGGGAGCCGCAGCCGGAGCAGCCGAAGGAGGGGCGGAGGGGCTGGGCTGGCGCCTTTCCCGTGGCTTCTTCCATTTGCCGTTTTTTTTTTGGGTTTTTTTTTTTTCCACTGTTGGTTTTAAAGGGAATCTATCACTACTGGAAATGTGATTGTTTCCTTTGTTTTGGTGTGGTCTGAACCAAATGGAAGGCTTGTTCCAAGGTCATGTCACACGGTGCCATGGTGTGAGGCTTGGTCAATGGCCTGCTTCTTCGGATGTGTATCTAGGAAGGACATGACCCTGTGAACCGAAACACTCCGTGGGGGAAAAACAACTGCTGGTGCAAAGGCGCCAGCTGGTGCAGCTGCAGTGTCGCAGGTCGTGTCCAGCATATATCCAGTGCTGCATCTTCCGGCAACGGACCCTAAACCGGCCAAGCCTGGAAACCAACCCAAAGATGTCATGCCACAGATCCAATGACTCCAAAAAGCCAGAACCAAGCTGGGTGCTTTCCTGTGTCCAGCCAACCTCAGGTTTGGGCGTTCACATTGGGTAGGTGTCGAAAAAGTTGGGACCTCCAAATGGCATCGGTTGTTTATTGATTGCCCTTCAAACCGGTGTCAAAAGGGTGCCCGCAAAGTACCCGCAAAGTACAACAAAGTACCCGCAAAGTAACCGCAAAACACACACACAGACACACACACAGACCCACACAGACACACGCACACACTCACACAGACACACGCACACACTCACACACACACACGGACACACACACACACACAGACACACACACACACACGGATACACACACACAGACGGACAAACACACACACACACAGAGACACACGCAGACACACAGACGCACAGACACACGCAGACACACACACACACAGACACACAGACACACACACACAGACACACACACACACAGACGCACACAGACACAGACAGACACAGACACAGACACACACACACACAGACACACACAGACACACACAGACACGCACAGACACACACACAGACACACACAGACACACACAGACACACACAGACACACACAGACACACACAGACACACACACAGACACACACAGACACACACACACGCAGACACACACACACAGACACACACACACAGACACACACACACAGACACACACACACAGACACACACACACACACAGACACACACACAGACACACACACAGACACACACACACACAGACACACACAC